AAATTTCCTATGTCCTTGGTGGCCAGAAGAGAAGGATCATGCCCTTTCCCCGACTGTCCATCTAAATCCTCGCCCACCACACAGCCGGAGTGCCAACGTGCTGCCTGTCTGATCTGACCTGACCTAGCATGGCTTTTATTACATTCTAGGAAAACAACACGCTAATGAAGCTTTAAGCCAATAGTAAGTTTGGACATGTTAAAAAACACGGATGAAGGGAGAAACATACAATATAGGATGTTAGCTCTTAGAAACAGCGCAGGAAGTAAACAAAGACTTAGTTTGGAAAATGCGGCTAATACATCTGGGATGGATCGTCCGCCCCCCAGATGTTTGAAGACTGAGAGACCCCGCAGCAGTGGGAAAAAGAGGACGAGCAGGAACGCGCCGTGCCACAGCAGCGAGAGCGAGAGGAATGTGAACGTGAGCCCCATCCCCACCATCGCTCCGTGGCTGAGGGTCACGGGCAGCAAGGAGCCAGTCCCTTGGGAGCCGGCTGTGGAAAGACTCCACCTGGTGCATTTGTTTTAATTCCAGCCCTATTGTTACCAGAGGAAGATTGGAAAATTTGAGGGAAGTTCAAGCTAAGAGCCATAAGAATGAGCAAACTAGGGAGAGCGTGCGCTGAAAGAAAAATGATGAGCTGTGACAAGTATGTTTGCCTTGGCGGAGCTACAGCTGTGGCTGCACGCAGAGGCATGCAGCCGCGTGGCCCCACAAATAAGGGCCACGGGCCCCCCATCCTTCACCTGTTTTGGGGGGGTCGCAGTGCCGGCACGATGCCAGCGGTGCTGCCTGGGGAGAGAGAGGGAAAAGGAGGGCAGAGGACTGCAGCCCTCCAGCGCGCGGCAGGGGAGAACAAGCTGCTTTGGGGAGGCCAGGGTGAAGCTAAAGCAAGGAAAGATGGGGTTCGGGCACTAGCAGCTTTCCTGGGAGCGAGGCCACCCCTATGAGGTGCCTGGAGCTTGGGGAGGACCACAGTGCCTTTCCTTGCCGGGAGGGGATGCTGCCCATCCACCGGGAACTTCAGATCCGACCCAGGAGAACAGCAGGGAACTGGCAAGAGAGGAAATTCCATCTCGGAACTTTTCCACGTTTAGTGCCAGAAGTTCTATTCCACTATTGTCGAGTTCCCATCTTCTGGAAAACAGCGGGAAAACTTTTCTGGCATCAGTTCAGAAGTCTTTATTGTGATAAGGATACAGAGACTTGTGCGTGCATCAAAACAAAGATCCACTTCATCAGGGCTGAGTCGCAAAAAGGTGACAGGGACTGTTGTCCTCCGTGTGTCCCCCCCAGCCCCTCTGGAACAGGCTGTTGAGCCCCAAGATGCAGCTGGCAGCCCTGCAGAGGCTGCATGTCCCCCCGGCACAAAGCATGGGAGGAACTGGGACGGACGAGGATGGGGCACACGTCCAGCTGAGAGCTGCTCTTAGGGAAGCTGGGAAGCCCTGGCCAGCACCAACACTGCAAATCAGCCTCTCACCGCAGAGGTGATGGCCCCACTTCCGAGAGCTTTCTTCCAAGTAGAGGCTCCACCACGCTTTGCTGTAGAGCCAGAGAAATGAGTTATAGCCGTGCATAGAGGAGAGCTGGTGTGTCGGGGGAGGAGAGCGAAGGGTACTTAGAGCCTGGGGTGGGGTCTGGTCGGTTTCTACAAGCAGCAAGCATGCTGCAGGCACCCAGGCTTTCTCTTCTGACTCTCCCCAAAAATCTCAGCCTCACTGATAGTTTTGTCTCAGACCTGACACTTGGGTGAACACTAGAGAGCTTGTGAAAGTCATCAGTCCCAGAGAGAACAGACTGCTCCCGCACCCTGCAAAGCTATCAACCCCCCCTGCAAGGAACCCCAAAATGGACCACTCAACATTTGAACCCAAACCAGAGACAATCATCCCACCTTGCTGCATCACATCTCAGGGCTTCCTGGGGCAAAACGGGAGAGACCAAGGTCTGGAGCCTCAGCAGCCCAGCAGAGCTGATTAGTGAATAAATATTTGCAAGACAAGAACATGTGGTGTTAAAAGATGCTTTAACCCAGAAGAGCAAAACTGTACAGGAACCAGTGGCTGGAAATTAAAGTCAGAAGCTATCAAATTAGAAATAAGGCACAGATAATTATCAGTGAGGCGGATCAACTGCATTAACAAGAGAAGTGTTATTACTGGCATATTTGGAAATTCCCTCCCTAGTGCTAACAATCTTCACAAATGCATTGGGTGGCTCTGGAACACACATTGGAGCTGAATACAGCTGGGTCAGATGCAGCACAGAAGCAAAGGAATGAACATTCATTAAACTTGAACTCTTTGACCAAGGATTTTGAGCAACCTCCATGGATAAAGTCCTGCAATAGCAGGAAAAGTGGGAAGAAAAAAAAATCAGATGCTTTTCTAGGAAAGTTCAAGCACAGCCAGTTACATGCAAGGGTCTCACCCTGATAGGATACCTCGAGTCAACCAATTCCTGGAGCCTCAGCCTGCTCAAGTGATTTTTTAAATGGCACATCTGGTGTCACCTTAGAAATTCTAGTTCTGGAGAGATTGACTCATAAATATAGTCTAAAAGTTATAAGGTTTAAAAATAACATATTTTGTATTTTTCTTAGTTTGGGGCTTTTTAGATTGCACCCAAGTCACATTTACAACTTTAAAAAACCCCCACGAAACCCAAATAAAAAAAAACAATAGAAGGCAGGCAGGAGGGAGTAAGCGAGGATACCAGCTGATCGATTGCCTGACTCCAGAATCAAGAGCTAGCAATATTAATACTATGGGACTTGCAATAAGGATACAAAACATTGCTAAAGCTCTTCTCCCAAGTTCTATATTTGACCTTTTCCTTTGGTATGAACCCCTAGGAGGCACCAGAAGAGCAGACTGGCACAGGCTTTCTCTTAACACCAGCTTCCACACGGAGTTTCTGCATCAATTTGCGAAATGCTCCAATGGATCTGCCAGTTCCAGCATCATGGACACAACTAAGCAGGTGCCAGACCCGGGAGGAGGTATCAGGAAGGGAATTACCATTCTGCAGGTTTCTACACCATTCATGGCGAGCAAAGATGCACCAGCTCATGCAGGGAGCTTCTCCAGGGCGCCTGCCCTGCTACAAAGACTCTGTACACAAGGAAGGTGGCACAGGATGGGGTGCGTTGCAAGGGGGGTTGACTGGGGAGCTGAAGCAGCTCTGGTTGCACCCTCCTCCTGTGTGGCTTCCAGCCATGACCAACAACTACTGTTAACCTCTCATCTACCTATCTTTGCCGAAAACAACACGAGGACAACTCAGTCTCTAGATGAATTCCAAAATCTCAATGTATTTGCAGATAAAACAAAAACCGGTCAATGGACAAAGAGCGTGGGGAAGTGTCATCTGCATGTTGATCTGGATCACTTGCTTGGGGGAATATCCTTTGAACAGCACATGTTTAGGTGGAGCCACACAGAAAGCAAAGCAGCTCATGTTAAGAGACAGTAATGTATGGTGTGAGACAGTGGCTGTTCTGGAATGCAATGGCTGGAAAAAAAAGGCCAAGTTGCAATAGCCCAGCTGGACAAAACAGCCCCCAAACTTTCTGTTAAGTGAGCAGACCTGGCTCTGAGATACACAAGTAGGGAACATAGAGTATAGATCAAAACCAGATGGTATTACTTTTATGTACATTACTAGAGAGTCTACTACCACTCACCGCTGAAAACTTTGGTATCCAAATTTCAGAAAGATGTAAAAATTTCCAAACAAGCAGAGTCAGGAGCTACAAGTGAGGTCAGCACAGAGCACTTTACAGATTGAAGATCAATCTATTTAATATGATACAATGATGACTTGCAAGCACCAGAAAGGAAAAAGGGATTTTGATAGCAGAGGATTACTCAGTCTTTCTGAAACGGGCAGAACAAGACCCAACAGAAGCTGAAGCCAGCTAACTCAGAGTAAAAATAAGACACAGATTTTTGGAAGAACAATGAACTGCCCAAAGATCTTATGACAAGACAGGGTAGATTTTTCCCTTACTTTTAGGTCCTATGATATGTTACAACTCCTACTTCCAGGCATGAAGTAGAAATGCCTGGGGGACATTTTCCAGCCTGCACTGTGCAGAGGGACAGGCTGGGAGAGCATGAAACCCCCGAGCTCTGCGTCTGTGCTTGCCTAAGGGAGAAGGCTTTATTGGGGTTGCGCATCCTGATCCCCCCCACGCCTTCTGCAGCTTTGCTCAGGGAAACAGGTGAAGGTGTGTGTCTGCCATGCCTTTCTCTCCACAATATCTGCTTTCTTTTGGCCTCCAGCACTTTCAGGTCATTGGGAGAAGAGATTTCTGAGATTTCGTGGGAGGTAGACAGGCACCAGTGGTTTCCAAGTGTTTTTATAAAAATGGATTTCTGATTTCTCTTCTTTTTTCTTTTTTTTTTTTTTTTTTGACCAAGGAATGGAAAATGGAAGAAAGTGATTAATAAACTCCATCAGTGGCATCGCCCTAGTTATGTACTAGAAAATGGGCTGCAAACCCTGGGTCTTATGGTCATGGGATAAGCCTAAACCATGAGGG